AGTTCAGTAACTGATGGTACAGAGCACTTACAGCGTGAGGCATTATGGCAGCTGGGAAGGAAAAAGAAGCACAAAATCCATTAGAATTAGGAAAGAAGAGACACATAGTCTAAAGGAAGCACTCTGGTTTTCCTCTTCATCCTTAAGAACCTGATTCAATTGGTCCTTGTCCTGCCACAGAAGTTAATGTGGGGATATAAAACCAAACAAATTGAAAGCATTAAGCCGTTGCTGTCTTAGCATGCTGGTTGCCTGTTGGCATGATGGCTCTACCTTCCCATGTGATAGATGGAGCTGTCCAAATTTGTGTTCTCTGTGTGCAGTTTGTTTGCTTTGATGAGCTGTCAGATTTAGATTTAAACTCTCTACCATCACTATCACCCCATGCTACTGCAGATCCTTCTTATTAGGACTGTCAGGATCCTCGTCCGTTACGTTTTGGAGGACTGGTTTATAGTGACAAGAGGCCATTACTTATGGCTGCATTTAGTCAGGCCTCTTTGCTGCAGTATAAATGTTCCTTTTGCTAAATTGCAGTGCAGGTTTGGCAAAGAGCTCGTCCCTCTGCCACGGCTCACTGAGCCATTTGCATCTTAGGAAGTGGAACCCTAAGTCATGTTCATTTAATCAGTAACTCCAGAGCAAATAGTGATGAAATTGCCAAGTGATTTCTTTGGCAAAAGACAAAGTCATGCTTTTTTGCAACTCTGATTCCATACACTTTTCCCTCGGGGTATAACCCCTGCTTTTATTCAGTTCCTACATATTTTGCATTATTGGAGGGCTGAATAAAGTCAACAGTGTATATATGTTTTTATTTCAAATCCTGAAGGAAGCTGCAAAGGACATGTGTGGGTAATAAGGAAAGGAGAAACCAATCAGTTGTTCAAAACCAAAATTGCTATGGTACTTCATGGATTTTCCTTTATCAAAAATTGTTGTCAACCATTTCATATTTTAGAATTCCTTAAGTTAGAAAACAAATGTTTAGGGTTTTTTTAAAAATGGAAACTCAGTTCTTTCTCTTAATGTTTGCAGAGTTGTAGCCTTGAAAAAGGTTGTACACAGTTAAAAGTATGTTACTGAATTGAAACAGATATTCCTGTACTAACAAGTTTATTTTATTTACAACAAGTAAGATGCTTGTTGTAACAGCTTCATTCTGAGTAGAATATTGCTGCTTTTCTCAATGTTAAGAATTGCAGCTGATATCTGCCTTTGTAGCCCACTGAGGAGGGGCATGGCTGGTTCTGTCTCACCTACCACCCCCTCTGCACACATCTAATAATGCATGACTTTTTGATAGGCTGCTTTGACTTCCTAATGCAGAGGAAGACTAACCCCCACCCCCAGATTATTTTCTTGTAGCATTAGTGAGCTGAAGGAAATTTTCAGGTGAACTGGTGAAATGTGCTGGTTATGTGTGTGTTTGAGGGATGGAATGACATATCCCTCTTTCAGCAGCATCAAATAAGTAGAATAGCTAATGGCACTCTAAATATGCTGGATTTTACATCACTACAAGTCACTGCTTCCTGAAGGGGATTTCCTTCTAAATAAATCTTCCTTCAATTCTGTGCCCAGGTATTCTCTGTGCTGATGCTGGATTTTCCCAGGTTGGCATTTGCATTGTGGGATGTCTGCCAGATGTAGCTGTGGTGTCAGCATTCTGCGTCCTGGAATCCTTTTACTTTCCATGACTGAGTGTTCTTTTTTTGCTGCTTTCAAAGTCTGAAACAACTGTCACAGGTAACACCAGGCTCTGTGTTGCACTCAGCGTAGCTGGGAATGTGCAGTGACAGTGGTTGGTCTACAAAGCTGCACCTGTGATGGTGTGCTGGGTTAGTGGTCAAAAGAGGCTGAGGGCCAAGCAGGCAGGGATTTGCAGGTCTTCTTTTCCATAGAAACCTCACAGGAATGTTACCTGTACGGGAAGAGTGTGGGCAGAAAGGGTAAGCTGTAGTTACATGGCTGTGCCTGTTGATGCTTGGTGGTTTGATAGAGAACAGTGCTGAGTTAGGAGTTTCTTGGCCAGCTCTGTGAACTCACAACAATCATATTTTTGAAGTTGTGGGGTCCTGATGGCACCCAACACTTTTTAAAAAATTCACTTTATTTACGCGTAAGAATAATGAGAAGTGAATGAGAACACTTCTGGGCATTAACAGCTCTAAATTTTGATGTTTTTCATTAGTGGAAGTCTAGTAAAAGTCAGGCATAGACGTACTGTTAGGAGGAGGGCCTATTCTGTTACAACATTAGGAAGGTAAGAAGAAGAAAAAGTAGAATTTCAGAGTGGAAGAAGTGACCTTTGTAGTTAAGCATTCAGCATCAGAGCTGAGCTGTGCAATTGCTGGCCTGCTCCTGTTTTGGGAAGAAATTGTCTCATACTATTATTATGTTGTTTTTGAAGAAGCATAAAGAAAAGGTTGAAGTTTTGACAGCTGTGACAAAGTCTGGTGCCATAATGTGTCACCAGATAAGTGATACTGTACAGTCTGTGGCAGTCAGCAAAGCATGGCAGCCACTATTTATATGTCAACTTTAAAAGAGAGGAAGTGTTACCCGAAGGGGAGAGAATATCAGAATTTGACAGCCTGGTAGACATCTAAGGTTAAATGTCATCTTTTGAATAGATATAACTTATTTATTCATTGTGTGTATTGAGATCTGAAATTGCAGACTTTAAATGCTCATTTTGTTACTTTATGGCACTTAAAAACATTGTGCCTGAGAACAGAGCAGGGTTTCCTGCTAGAGCAGATGATGCTAAAGGTTAGGTCATGGTGTGTAAATATGTGGGTGCATATGGAGCAGCGACAGGAGAGAGACAGAGATGCGACTTGGTGATTTCCTAATCTTAAAAATAAATTGACTTTCAGTAGTAATTTGTATATTACTTGGATTCCTCCTTTATTATACCAAATGATTTTCATGTTTCCTGGGCTTGCTGTTCTTTTTAAGCTTCTTGTTTAATTTTAAAACTTTAAATTAAAACCTTGTTTGCGTGTCTCCATGAGCAGCATACATAATACATAAAAAGTAACTGTGTAGGTCTTGGGATTGTTTTATTTCCCCCCTTTTCCCTAACAGAAGTTGTTTGTCCTTTGAGTATTTGTTTATGTTTTGGTTTTTAACTTCTTGAGTACTCTTATCCCTCTATATTACTTGGAGTGGGAGAGGATAGAGCAAAGATATTTCTACAGTTATTTTAATTATCTCAGAGGAACAGAAGTTGTAGCCTTTAAACAATATTTTCAGCCTTTGTGGGGAACAGTATGCTTTGAATCCGAGGCACTGGATTTTCCTCTTCTCAAGAGATTTACCAGTATCTGTTTTACACTCTGAAGTCTATATGAGAGTTTCCATTGAAATGTGAATTACAATGCTCTGATCATATGGCTAAAAAGATCACTTTTTGTGATTTCACCATTAGTCTTAAGTGTTGCAGAGACCAAAGTTAATAATACCTTCAGTTTCATCTGTTCTGTCTGCTGCTGGTTTTGTGTGAAATTGGTAGTAAATCAAATTATTTTCCAAGTGTTACTGAAAAATAAAATTCCATAGTTTTAAAGCCACCATTTCAGAATTTGAATGATTTTAATCTAGAAACTGGTAGAGAGTAGTGGTCTCAAATACGCGTTCCCTGGATGTGGGGGAAGGAGGGAGGCAGGCGACTGAACTGTGACCTTTGTGTTCTGCTCCCCAGCTGCAGTGCAAGGTGTGTGCTCTCTGCTTTGTGCCTGAAATGCAGCGTGCAGATCTAACAGCCACTCACATCTGCTGCCTGCATCCCTAGATCAGGGGAAAGATTTCTACTGCAGGGAAGAATGTGCTTTTCTCTTCTTGATCACCCTTCAGCCCATTCATACCGCTGACTGTGAGAGTTTTGAGGCTTTTGTGCTCCTTCATGTGTTGCAGCTTCACCACTTCATGTCGATTTTCTTCTTGCAGCCTCCTGCCCTAGCTGTTCTTAGAAGAGCATTGCCCGCCATAACCAACTTTTTGCACCTTTTAAAAACAGGTGTATGATACATGAATAGGGGTGTGGGTGGGCCCATCTAAACCCTGGGGGTGATGTTGAGCTCACAGAACTGGCAGCTGCAACTTAGAAGAGAAACTCTGGGCTTTCTTTGAGTGTATTGGCTTGAGACACTTTGGCAGCTAAACGTGTCAATGGTGGGCTACACAGTATCAGGGAGGGAACTGAGAAGAGGGCAAGAAGGGTTTGATGTAACTTGTCTTGAGTATAAAAGCTTTGAGAAGTCTTGTGAAACATTGGTGTGCCTGTTTGTTTTCAGTGTTGTCAATTTTAGTCTTCCCTTCTTCAGGAAGAATGTTAGAACAGGTAGAGAGAGAGATGCAGCTTAAAACAGTGACAGTGTCAGCTGTCTTATGGGAAGAGATGGAAAAGACTGCAGCTTCAGCATGTGGGGCCAGGCAGGCTGCACCTGCTGTGTAATCCAGTGGCTGTAGTTCTTGAGGGAACATGGTGGGGATGGACAGCAGAAAATGCCCAGGATTGCATCTTCTTGCATAGGATTTCTGGTTTCTGCTGTGCAGGCCCTGTGGTGTGAGCCAGGAGTGCATTTCAGCTGCCCTTATCAGGGGAATGTCACAGATACTCATCTTGGACTATGACCTGAATACGAAATTCAGGTAGAGCATTCCAGTACTTCTGTGGTTAGGTTGGGATTTTTCAGTTGAGAATTTGGTTCATTGCTTTGGAAGGAGTCAAATGATAACTTATTCAAGGTTCCTTTAAAGGGCATTGGGTGACATGTTTTCTCAACTGCAGCTTTTGAGAGTTGTTTCTGTATTTCCATCAGTGGATTATTGCAAGGTAAATTCAGTAAAGTACCACCATGTAAATATTACAGATTTGCAGAAAGACCTAATTTTTTTCTCGTTTCTTCTGGATGGATCCTGTTTCCAGAAACTTTCTGTTCAGTCATTATTTCTGAGATAAAATGATTTTTTTTCTTCTTTGTTTTTAACAGGTTCTTGAAGATGCAGAGGCTCAACACCTGTTCCAGTCCATTCTTCCTGATATGGTCAAGCTGGCACTCTGTCTCCCTACTATCTGCACCCAGGTAAGTAACACAACCAGCAGGTGTTCTGTGGCAGACCATTCCCTGCAACCTGTAACTGATGGCTAAGACCAGAACATCAGGATTGTGTTATCTTCTTAATAAAAGCTGTAATTTTGTGTTGAATGCAGCTGAGGCCTCGGGAGCAGAACAGGCAATACACATCTGAAATTATGTAATAGAATGTTAAAAAAAAATACCCTGTAAATCTTACTGTCATAGTTTGAGCCTGAACTTCAGTAATACTTTCCTTTCTGTATTTTGGAGTTGCTTCTTGCATTTCTTAAATGAAATGACCATGCGACATTTCAGATTATAAAATCCCACTTAAAAAGTGGAACAGTTGAATAATCGTAAAACATCTTAATTTTTTTTTTAGAATTTTTTTAATCCTAGAAGTAGTATTTTCATAAAGCCTTCATTTGCGTGGGAACACCTTGTATTCTGCTTAGAGCATATAATACTTGCACACATACAAACCTTAAATAATTCTTTACGAATGCTGTGGAAGTTAGTTCTGGAAGTAGTAAAGCTGATAAAAGTGAATAGGACTGGTCAGGTAAGGATGTAGGTAACACATTAGCAGGGTAACATCTCTAATTTGTAAACTTCTTTGTTTTCATTTTCTAAATTGATTCTGTTGGACAGGAAAATCTCCCCCTACTTTATTATGCTGTAAGGGTCCTAAAGTAGATACATGATTTCAAACTATGATTATTTCTTAGATTTTTTTACTAGTAACTTGATGAAGGAAGTTGTTTGAGAATGCTGTGAAGTTTCTGAACACAAAGTCAAGCACAAGATTTGCAAGTTCACATAGTAATGCCTTTTATAAAGATCATGTACTGCTAGGCAATGTAAATTGTGAAGACCTTTGTTAGACTCATTTCTTTGGTTAGACTTAAAGCTAAATTTGTTCCAGTGTAACACTATCCAAAATATTCTATTTTTGTAGGGTTTTAGAACTTATTAGAGTGAGCTGTGCAGGCTTTTTTGTCCCTCTAGCTGTATGACTTCAGACATAATTGTATAGTGTGTTAATTAAACAGCCAGGAGACAGAATGAGATTCAGTGAACATGAATGTAGTAGTTAGAAGAATGAAGGAAAACTTGTTTGTTTTCTGGAGTAAACAAGGCTGTGTATTCAACAGTCTAAATTAGCAGCAGTTTCTATATTCACAACTGAAGAGATGAAAACATAGCTACTCAGCTCTACTGGAGCCTGGCTAATGATGATGGCTGAGAATTTTGGAAGAAGAGGTGAAAACTGTTCTCTTTCTCCTGTCAAGTGGATTTACTGTAATTGTTACTCCTTAGTAGTCAGAATGATATGTCCCCCCCACACCCCATATTATCACATAATTGAAAAGCCCACATAAAATGCCATGGATGCTGTGAGCCAGAATTCCTAACCAGGAGGTTAATGCCTGATAAAAAAGATGTATAGCAAAGTGAAGCTGAGCTTTTTGTTCATTTGGCTTATAAAAATGGATAATTATGCACTTTCTGCACATAATGTCAGTGTTCTTTCTTCAAGGAGGATGGAAAAAAAATTCAAAACGAGTCATAGAGTTATGACTTCCTTGTTTCTTTGTGAAGTTTAAAGCAGGGTTATTGTAGCTGAAAGCATTCCTTAAGGGCTCTTAACTGTACAGTTATATGAACGTGGATTTTTACTTCAGTTTTTAACATTGCCCATTTGCGACATCCTGTCTATTTTTTCCCCTCTCCATTCCCCATGGTTTTGTTTGATAACTTGTGTTTTCCTGATCTTTCTTTTTATTATTGATTAGAAATCTGCAGTTTGTCAGCAAGCCTTTTCTGAATTGTCTTGAATAAACTGTTCTTGACTTTAATGGTGCTGCTGATTAAAGGCTTTACCAACGGCCTAAATTACTCTTGCTCTAATACAACAAATGTAATTTTGTGCTCCTGTTTTTTCTTTCAAAAAGGGTAAGCTAATTATTTTTCTCTCTCTTTCCCTCACTGCCCCTCCTTCCCCCTCACTTCTTTTGTGGGTAGCCAATACCTCTACTGAAACAGAAGATGAATCACTCCATCACCATGTCACAGGAACAGATCGCCAGCTTTCTGGCCAATGCCTTCTTCTGTACTTTTCCACGTCGCAATGCAAAGATGAAATCTGAGTACTCGAGTTATCCAGACATTAATTTCAACAGGTACGGCACTCTGGAGTAAAGGAAGCTGATAACCCTCCCAGGAAAATATTACTGTTGTCATTTAGGGGAGAAACTGGTTTGTTTCATATTTCTGTCACTAATTTCAGTAGTTTGCTGTATGGGTTTTTTTCTGTCCCTCTAAGGGACAAGAAAACAGTGCAACTCTGCAAGAAAGGATCCTGTGCACAGGAAAATATGATTAATATTCCCGATTTTTTCCCCCCTGCGTGAACGTGCACAGACACACTTGTGCTCTGGCGTAATTAGATTGATAAAATTCCTTACCTCCTCATAAGCCAATCATCTGCAAATGGTGTATTTTAGTTGTGCTTAAAGTGTTCTGTGTATTTAAATTAAAGGTCAGAGTTTCCCCAGCCATGTTTCCGTTCTCTGTGTCATCATCAGGGGTGATCTGCATATTAAGTCAGATCAACAGGACTTTGTTCTTCAGCATCCATACAGTCATTTAAAGGCAGTTGTAGAGCTGCATTTTAAAATTAACCTGTCCTTTTTGTTTCAAGTTAGAGCCTAAAGAGATTTTAAGGTCACAGTAAAAATTTACTTAAAGATACTCTGATTTATAAACAAAGCTTAGTGCTTTTTTCCTCACTGCTAGCTTGCAAACAGATTTGGTTAGAAAGTTTTCTTCACATCTTCGTTATAATTTAAATATGCTTTTTTCAGTTTTAAAAGAGGGAAGAGGATGGAGACATTTTCTGCAGCAGAATAATATGGTTCACATGGAATTGTAGATTAGAAATGAGGGTTTCTTGGTACTTCCATACAAGTCTGTGTAGATCCACCTCAAGGTTATTGGTCTTGATGATATAAAATCATTAGCTTGGATAGATTATTGATCTAGAGCTTTTCTTATTCCTTGCTGTTAACATAGGTAGTGTTTGTGCTCTGACAACTGAGATGAGATATGAAAACAGTGTTCCCTGTGATCCAGGACACTTGGGTGCGTGTATCATACGAGCTTATACTACATACTAGTTCATAGGGAAGAGAAGTGTGGGTGGACATTCATATGCCATACAACTCCACGTGTTTTTCTACCAGTAGTTCACAAGAACAAATAAATGAAAAATACTATTGATGCATTAAAAAATATTGATGTTCAGAGCAGTGGAAGGGGACAGAAAAGGTCTGGAAGGAGTTCTGTTTGCACAATTCTAGCTGTATTTTATGGTATTTTTAAAGGACTTTAGGCTACCATTTTTTGTTGTAACTTAAACATTCTATAAACCAAGCGGTTAAATTTAAGTTGGATAATTTCTTACCAACTACAGAACCAAACACTGTTAAATAACAGGAGTAAATTCATATTCTCCTCTATGAACATTGCAGAGCAAAGTCAAGTCACAATAGTACAGTGAAATACTTGGGGTGTACTACTGCAAACTACTTTTAAATAAAAAAGCCTTGGCAAATTATTAGGTAAATAGTTTCCTGCCACAGACTTAAAGAATGACCACTATAAAGTATTAACCATTCAGAATTTTCTGCCCTGTTCCAGTCAGTCCTCCACTGTTTTCTGGCTTGGCTTCCTGGTGCTCTCACTCACAGTAAGTTCCAAAAATGTTGTTTAGAAGGGGAATAGGCAGACAACCTTGAGGCTTTTCTCTTGCCTTATGGATGAGGTAACGCTCAGCTTCTAGTCACATGGGGTAGAAAGCCATTTTTATTTGTGCAAGAGCAAGGATATTGTTGCCAAAGAGGAGAAAAGAAGGGAAGCTAATGTCCTCTGGTTCTTGAGGATTTAAGGTGGATCTTCTTCAGTGTTTGCCTATTTATGCATTTATTTTATAAGTACAGTTTCCTTTTCCAGTCCTTTATTTTACTCAACGATTTGTTGCAGCAGATCCACAGCCCTACACTCTCTGTACTTTGCATTTGATAATAAACAGATTAGTGAAGTAGAATAAAAGGTATGACAGGCAGTGGATAAAATAAGAGGGAATGTGTTACTGGAAAAAGCTGCAGACCATAATACTGTGGGGACAAAAGGTTGCCGTGTGAACAATCTGTTATGCCCATCCCTAAGCAGCAGCCTCCAAAGCCTTTACGTAAAGGCAGGATAAAAGCAAAAGGATATTGAAGAGTAGTGGAGAGAGTACTGCAAGACTATACGGTTACTGTACATAACCTGACTTAGTTCAAATCTAAAATGAGGGGGGAGAAGGAAGATGGATAGTATTCTATTTCTTTTTTCCTCCTGCCCACCCTGTATTTTCTCACCCTTCAAAGTAAGTTCTTTAGTAGCAAGGATGGAGTAAAATGTCATCTTTTCAGCTATTGTTTCAGGCTTGCAGAGATGCCAAGGGTTGGTTCACTGCATTGTGTATTTGCAGCTTTAAAAAAAAAAAGCCTTTTGTGAAGCCGGATATACTCTAAAGGCAAGAGGCAATGACTGAAGTTAAAATGTTTGTGACTTTTTTTTTCCTGTTTATAACAATGTTTTGATGTAAAGGCTTTGGAGGCTGCTGCTCTGCTCTCTCTGCTTAGGGATGGGCATAACAGATTGTTCACACGGCAACCTTTTGTCCCCACAGTATTATGGTCTGCAGCTTTTTCCGGACTTTGTTCTTTCCTCAGCATAATTCATCTGCTACATGACTGAATGAATGACTTTGCTCTCTGGGTACCAAAAAATATTCTGCTGTGGTTCCCTAACAAAGCAACATTACTGAGTGGATGCTCAGTATGATGAGGGGTTTTTTCTTCAGCAAAGGTGGTGTTCCTTGATTCCATTATCCATGTCCTGTCCACAATAATACAAAAGGCTTCCACCCCTCCCCTTTACTCCTTGAGACTGAAGTACTGAAATTCTTGCCTTTAAAGTTAGTAACACAACTGTGTAAGTTTTCTTGTGTCTTTTGTTTTACACAGCAGTCTTTTTGCAGACTTCAACATTTGTACCTTTTTATAAACTGTGAAATAGTGATGGTTTTTTACATTTAAATGCCATTATGTTCCCTCTTTCCTCCTAGTCTTCTCCCATCTCTAGGTTTTTATGTGGTATTAACTACCACATTTTAGGTTCCACCCCTACTCCCCCCAAGGTACAAATCTGTTTGACAAAACAGCAGACACTCAGTGCAAGATACTGAAAATTTACTCAGAGAGACATAACTGCAGCTGTTTGGAAGGAGGGCTGTTCTGTGTGTTGGTATTAACACACGTCATCTGTGCTTTACCTCTCCTCTCCTGCCTGTTAGCCTTGCCAAATGAGAGGAGGAGAAAAAAGGTGGCCATTCCTCTTTTGCCAATGAAGCACTTGCTTTAATAGTCTGTTGTGACACGGACTGTCTGTTTTGATTATTCATCTTGCTACAGACTGAAAGTCACCTGTGTATAATTAAATACTCAGTAATTTAATTGAATTCTTCCCTTTTGTACTTGGCAACGTTGGGCCTATTATGATTCTTCAGTCATTAATAACATAATTCATTTCAAATATAGTTGATGAAATGGAATTGGTAGTTTAAGAGCTTTAATATTTATGAATTCTAGTAGATAGAATGGCATCCATTCAGTGGCCAAACGTTGGATCATACTAAAGAGCATAAAATACTACTTCAAATATCAAGCCAAATTTAGAGCGTTCAGTTTTTCTTTTTAAAAACACTACTGTAATATATTTGATGGCAAGAGATTGGGCAGCTTTATGTAAAAATAACCCATCACAAAAGAAAGAATTTACAATTTTATATATCTTATTAATGAATTTTTCATGGAAGTTGCATCCTAGTTGAATGTAGAACCTGAATTGCATCGACTATCTACATTTATGATGTTAGTTGCAGAGTTTAAAGTATTTTCTTGTGGTGGTAGTTGTAATTAACCTTCTTTGGTGAATAGTTTGTGGTTTAATTAGGACTTTCATGAAAAATGTATTTCTCTTGAAATATACGAAGGTCAAACCATACTTTCTTGCATTTATTTTTTATAAGATGCTGAAATGGATACCATCCCCTGTCAGACAAGACTGCTCTTGGACATTTTGCTTTCCTACTGTTGACCAAGTTATGAGACCTGTGTTAAGGCACTGTAGAATTTGGTAATTTAGGAAACTGCCTGATTTGGTTATACGTGAAAGCAAAATACAAGGAAAAATCTCTGCAATGTTGAGTCAGTGTTCTGGAAAGGACATAGGTTTGTCAAGAACCTACTTTGCTTCTGTTGGGTCTTTGACCTGCTACAGACCTGTTCTTAGCTGTTGTGTCAAGTTAGAATAACTCCTTTGTTTTCCTTATTCAAAAAGCTCCCATAGTTAAAGTGGAGGTGTTATGTATCTGTAGTAGCTCCCATCAAAGCTGTTGAATTCATAACTGAATTCATGAAGGGGTTGAATTCATAACTGACCATGGTATATCTGATGACATAAGCCTGGTGGGTCTTTTGGCACATGTAGAGTGGATGCCTGAAACCACCAGTATTCCACTAGGACTGAATTCTCCGTGTTTATCAAACAAACCTTTAAAGTAACTTCAGGTGGTTGGAAAGGAGGGGGAAAACACACTAGTTAAGATATATATCTTTTATGGAATATATAATATATGAGAGGAAATGGGAAACTGTATAGTACATTTATGCAGGAGAATTGAAATCTGATTTACCAGTAATGCAATTTTCTCTCCATAAACAACATCAATTTCACAACACTAATGAATATTCTCTGGGGAACAGCATATCTAGTGACTCTGAGAGATGACTGAGATGAATTGCTCTTCTGAAAAGTGGTTCTAGATTTTCTGAGTTTACAGGCACTGATCCTACAAAACTCATTCTGTTACACCTGCCTTGGGTATATGTTCTCATTAGCCATGGATGGAATACTTTAAGTAGAGTATAATTTTCTGAAAAAAAAATTAAAATCAACATTTATGTTTGGTAAATGGGGAAATCCTCTTTAAATAGACAACTTCAAAAGAACACTGTTTATAACGAGACTGGCATAATTACTCTGCTGTAGTGATTAAGACAGTACTCAGTCTGAAGAGTTTTGTGTGCTTAGTAAATACAGTAATGCAGTCCAGAACTTGGTTGTACCATGCTGTTGGACATCTTTGGGTTTAGATCCGCAGGGTAAACCAAAGTGAAATAAAGTGCTTTCATAAACTGTGCTTAGTGTTGGAAATCAAAGCTTAAAAAAATACTTCACGACAAGTATGATACTGGTTTTGAAAATGAGGGAGTTTTATGTTTCTCTTCTGTTCCTGGAACTCCACCTTTTTTTAATTATTCCAAGGGGTTGGGAATTGTAGGAGAAAGAAGAGATGTACTCCCTGGTGCAGCTGATGCAATCCTAGGTGATGTGGTTATCGGGCCATTTGGCACTATATTGGTTTATCAGGGTGTATCAGTATGAAATTTCAGTGGTTCCCGTTAAGGTTGCTGGCAATTGAGGGTGCTCAGCCATTTAATCAAAATAGCCCTCAGTCATATGGAGAGCCATACAAGTTGACAGTAACAGACACAAACATACTATTTCCACTCCTACATGTATACATATGTCAGGTAACCATAGGCTTGAAATGCAGCAAGGTAGAAAATGCAAGATACTTGTTTTATTTTCTTTTCCAAGTATTTTGTCACTCTATAACTTTAACTAAAGCTCTGTTTGGTGATTAGCAGTGTTGTTGAGGTTGAAGGAAATTGTTCAGTACTTTCATTTATGACTTAACTTTCCATCCTTCCCCGTGCTCGATCCCTTTACTGGGTGAAATTTGTCTATCTATCTTACTTCCTTATAAATCCTTCTTTCACTTTTATTTGTAGGACAAAAATGAGATTCTAGTAAAATGTTTTATACTTACTAGGACATTATCTTTAGTGAGATCACACTAAAATATAAGAAACAACACAGGTGTATCTTCAGTTATAGTAATGAAGAAAAAGGCACTTTTTAGTGTCTGTGGAGGACTTGAGAAAGAAGCACATAGTTAATTGTAGGGATCACAAGTACAAAATTGTGTATCAACACTTCTGCAAACAGCTCCTATGAAATGCTGTGGATTTATGAATGGGAAATACTCTTTAGATTGTGATCCATACTACTCTTAATGTTCTTAAATCACATTCCTGTTACATCACTGGCAGTGCACCCTTTGAAGTTCCTTGCAGATTTTCCACTTGCCTCATCACTGTAAGGAGTTAGGAGCAGTTTAGAGCTTTTGACTCCAGCTTTAGAAGGTGGAAATGCTGTTTGAAAATAGAATTGTGAGTTTTCATCTAAGACTGCAAAAACCAAAATTATTGATTACAATTTTAAAATTCTTTTTTTTTTTCCACTCTAAAATTTTTTAGGAAAACACTAATGCAAAGCAAATGCACATGTTTTTTGTAATAATTATTGAAATGGTATAAACTGTTGCCTTGTAACTTAACTATAGGTTTACTGACAGTTGTTTTACATTTTCCCAATATCAGTTCTTACTATTTTTAATATTTTATTTCTCATATATAGGATTTTTCTTCAGAACAATTACGTCAATCAAGTGTCTGAATATTTGAAAGAGTTTTCATTTAGCCACAATGGCTTTAACAATCTACTTTGTGTTTATGACATTGTTCACACATCTACTTATGCTTTAAAATCTCTGACTTTGATTCCTTGAATACTTAAGTGTAGAACTCTGTAGAGTTCTGCTGTGGGATTAACACTGCCACTACTCTGGCCTGGCATCTGGAGAGCCAATTCATTCAGAGATGAATTTATAGCTATGTTTGGTGGTTGACTCTGGAAGCTTTCTTAGCTCCTGTCCCTGCTAAATTTAAGTTTTCTGCATGGCAGTGGGAACATCCTGTACAAAGCAAAACAGCTTACATATGCAGTTGCCAGTAATATTTCAATTACTTCACCTGAAAGTGAGCTTGAAGTGCTTTGCCTTTGATTTAGAGTGCACTTCATTTGGATGAGTTCTTTAATTGGAATTAATGGGTTTTGGCCCTGGGTGGTTCTGTCAGGAAATTATGTGGTTTGCACTTAGATTTTTGGGTGGTTTTTTGGTAGGATTTGTATCTCAGTGCTTGAGGAAGAATTTTATTTAATATCTTAGTGATGCTTTCCTGTAGCTTTAGTCTTTAAAATATTTGCTTCAAAAATAAAATTGCCCATAATGTGACCTAATTGATCATTTCAGAAATATGGTTAAAACATCCATAACTTTGTCGTGTTATGTCCTCAGTTAAATTAATGGGGTAGGACTGGGCCATTTTCAGATCATGTAAAAATCACTTGCATTTGCTGTTGCATTCACAAATATGCCTGGTTTTGGCTTGATCTGACTTATTTCAGGCATAGTTTTTCCAGTTCTGCACTACTTCTGCCCAGTCTGCTCGTTGTATGGAATCAGGCACAATGCAGGCACAAACCCTCGATAGCACTTGCATATTGGCCCATTTTAGAATAGACTGCATAAGTCTGGAGTTTGCCCTCTTAAAGCCCTGATTCACTATTCAAATAATAACAAGTTGATAAAATTAACTTCTGTGACTTAATATAGATTTTGGATGAAATCGATCTATTCAGCCTGTATACCTCATAAGAATTTTCAAATACTGAAAAAATCTAGTTCACTTCACTACTGAAAACTGAATTCATCTGACAGAACTCTGGTTTTAAAGGCAGGCTGTCATTCCAGCACATGGAAACAAATGAATAATGTTGTGTCATTCCTGTACTTAGGCTGTTTATTGAGGGGGGAATCTTACATCCTCAGGGCTTTCAGTGGATCAGACATCTTTTAGTGAACTTCCTATTCAAAGGGTATTATTTCTGAAGTCACTGCTGTTCTTCCTTCCAGATAAATTCCATTATGTGTTGCCAATGACAATACCTTGTCACTGTTGGAAATGAAATTAAGTAATGCGTGTTCAAGTTGCTGGAAGACAGATGATGCAGTAAAAGTATTTCAGCTAACCTTAAAAGAATGCATTCACTTAGGGGCTAAAAATAGGATACTTCTTTTTAATGCTTGGGTTTTTTACAAGTGAATGTTAGAATGCCATTAAAGCCCAGTGGATGGAGCCATTTCTTTGGGGGAAGGTTCTTTAGAAACGCTGCTGGTGCAGTGCATCTCTTGAAAGCAGCACAGTTGCATTCATTGTTCTCTTTACCTCACTGAGCTGACAGAAGGGTAAGACATTTGGATCTTGGAGTATTCAGCATACATGTTTTCACCCCTTGGTCACTTATTTTAATCCAGGCCTGTTCACCTTTGGATCTGTTGCAAGTAAAACCAGTAGCTTTTCTGAATGTTGATATTGAAATGACATATTTTTATATTAGAAGATTGGTACAAGTGAGATAGGCAGGCACTTGGCGTTTTCATCAGAAACACAGCAAGTCAACAGACTTGTTACTCCTAAAACCTCGTGTTACAGAGGGGATGTCTAGAGAGTTCTTTCTACAGTACGGTATTTAAATGCAAGGCTAATGTGATATATGCATAGTAATTAAAAAAAAACAAATTGCAGTTGGTAAGCAGCATAAATTACTATGCACTGTATCCCTGAAATCTAGTTGATTGCTTTTATTTCTTGTTTTTCAGATTGTTTGAAGGAAGGTCACCAAGAAAGCCTGAGAAACTTAAGACCCTTTTCTGCTATTTTAGAAGAGTCACAGAAAAAAGTATATCCTTTATTCTTTTTTTTTTGAACTACAAAGCAGATGCATGCAAAATTTAATCCCATTAAATTTAGAATTGGCTATGCAGCATTATGATGGAAGTGTCTAACAAAAGCCAGCTTGCAAAGTACACTGATATTCACATACACATGATTATCATATACATGATGCATGCAAGCAAATTCTTGCACAGGGCTTGTTCTGCTTTCTTTTCTCTGATAAATATATATAGATATATGTGTATATATGGGGTGTGTGTAAAATCCAGAGATGTATTTTCACCCCCTTGTAGATATCCAGTGTGTGTGTAGACATAAATATACATATATATATATAATGTTTGCAGTATATACAGCTACTTTCCTCACTGCATCACAGTGAGAATGTAGGGGGAACTTGGCACCATATACAGTCATTAAAATCACAGACTTAAAGATTTGGAGCCAGGCTTCACATTTCCTACAGTATGCAATTCTTTGACTAGAATGTTTGTAGTTTGAGGGATTTTCCCCTACTTGTATTGATATTTCAGGTATTTCCCTTCTATTGTCCCAAAACAAAACTGTTGTGAAGTTGGCCCAGTTCAAATAAAAAAGTGATAGCAAGACACGAGATATCTCCAACTCTTTGAGAAATTAGTGCATAGTAAGATCTTCTGTTATTACCATGAATTTGAACATCTGCACAAGCTTTCACAAGTAGTTGTGGGGTTTTTTTGATAACTTTGTCATACCTTATATATTGCATTTTTGGAGAGAAAGAGACTTGACTGCAGTAGCATACATCACATCTGCAGCAATATCCTTACTACAGTCTTTTTTAAAGAACCATTTTTTTACATGTCAGCATTTCCTATTAGGTTCATATTTTCTCAGAATGGTTTGGTTTAAGAGAAAGACAGCTTTCAGCTATTAAATATAAGAAGCCCTTTACTTGGTTCAGTCCATCTTCACTTCATCATTTTAATTCACCACAAACTAAATGCAGCTATATCCTGTTTCAGCTGTCAGACTTTCAGCAGTGTCAATAGAACTAAATCTCTGAGGTAAAACGTAAATTATGATCTATGTGTGGGACTGAGAAGAGATATGGTGTACTAGCTTTTTTTAATACTTGAGTTATAGTGTTTTCATGGAAACCAAATCCTAAATTTAGGCGGCTGCCCCTAACCCACTATGCATATGAAATTTGTTGGGAACATGTTTTATGAACCTATCTTATTAGATTCCCTAAAATTGTAACTTTAAATAATATTTAATGAGATTCTTGAATGCTCTTTTCTTGAATTAAAAATTTTTTATTCTTTTATTTTTTTGTCCCAGGATTTACTAAGACTGAAGTAACTTAGCTCTCTAAATTACTGTAATAATTTTGCAACCCTTTTTATTGTAAATAGTAATTGAATTCTGTGTAAAAGAACACAGTGGAGACTGAGGAGTTTGTACTCAAAAGGTGAATGCTTAGTTTGTAAAGTGCTGCAACTGATACCAAGGGTTCCCTTCTGGAAAAGCACTTGATTACTGAAAACTGTGCACTTTTTCTAAGAGCAAGTAACTCTTTTATTCCCTAAATCACCATAAAATGTGAAGAAAAGCACAGAACAGTTTAAGGCTTTTAGAAGGCTGAGTTTGTGCTTACATATGGTTTTGAATGTTTTCACAAGCCAGAGCAGTAGACTTACTGCAGCAAAGAAATTACTCTCATGTGAAGTTTTTTTTAGGATGTCATCACCTAATAAAAGGTTGATATTTCCTTTCTGTTACAAAACTGAACTTCTTTGAGTAAAATAAGGTAAAAAGAACAACACCTCCTCTTTTTCTCTTGAGGACAGGAGTCTTTTCTCAGCTGGAATACAATGAATTTCACCAGCATTTTGGCAGGGCCAAAATCTGCTTCATTTGGAATCCACTAACACTGCATCTTTATTGACACAGTAGGACTTTCTTGGAAATATGAGCTGCTGCTTCATCCATCCATAGGTTGAATACTCTGTGGTTTGCCTGTTGGTACTGAACAGTAATTGCTTTCAAACGTGTACAACGTTTGAAAAAACAAAACATTTAAACAAAACGTTACAAAAAGCAAACTTTTTTCTAAGTGGCAGCACGTTTTACTTCAACTACTGAGCATTTCTACTAGTGTTTACTATTAAAGGGAAAATCACTTAAGAAAAAGAAAAATTCTCAAACTGCAAAGCTGAAAGAGAAGTAAATATTTTACTCTTCATGTTATTTGTCTTTAATTTGAGCATAGGCTGTCGGGAAGATTCAAAGCAGCTCTTGAGGAAAGTTAATCTCTTGGTTTCTGCAAAGAATGATGATTGTAATTTTAGAAGTTTACCAGTTAAAATGATCTAAGGACTAAAGCTCCCCTATTTAATCCGTTTTCCTTTGGGGTTGGTTTGCCTGTAGAACCTACGGGATTGGTGACGTTTACAAGGCAGTGTCTCCAGGAATTTCCAGACTGGGAGAGGTAAGTCAAACATCCTGTTAATGCAAGAAATACCTTAAATCCATGATAACTGAATCTCATTCATTTGGAATTGAGTCAGGCTTGGAAGAACTACAGAAAACAACATAGGCTATGGATTGTTGCAGAAAGGAGCACAGAGGGAAGTGGGTGAACTGCCACGAGTAGTTTGTGTCCTGATTTGTCCGTAAGGCCAACAAGTCTTAAAACATAACATATCTTTGGTGCTGTTGATTGAGTGGGGAAAAAAGAGAGAGAGGACTCGATTTAAGAAATAACAGGAAATATAACAAAATATGGTTGATAACCAGCATGAACACAAGTGTAGCAGTTTTCTTGGTTAGCATGTTAATGTGGACAAGAAAAACATAGAACTCCAACTTCCAATTTGGGGGTTTAGGGTGAAAGAGGTGGAGAAACTGAACAATTTGCTATGTTAAACCTTTACAAATTGTTTCTGAAAGGCAAACGTATTTTCTTTAATCCATCAGGATTTGTGGTTTTTTTAAACCACCTTATGTTTAAGGTGTGTAAGAAGTTTGGGTTTGGATGAGTTTTGTTTTAAAATGGATGCTTTTGTGTGGAGGTTCTGTAATTGTCCTTTCTGTACAATATTTTTCCTCAATGGTAGATCTCAGAAAAAACTGTCTAGATTGCATGTCACCTATGAAGGCACCATCGAAAGCAATGGACAAGGTATGCTACAGGTAAGTGCATGTAACAGTTAATGTGGCTTTGTGGCATGTTTTTGTTGTACTTCTGTGGTCTGCCAGCTTAACAAAGTTATTTATTTACCCTCAGTTGACTTAAATGACCAGATGTTATGCGGTGTAAAAGAAACATGAAAATTAGTTCCGTGGGCAGTTCTTATACTGTCAGTGTTTCCCAGCTCCAGGTGGCACATGTACCTGGTACTGAAAGGGCTGACAGAAAATCACAAGCCCTGGACAGCTCCAGGTCTTCTGGTTCAAGGCAGGATTCGAAGATTGACAAGATAAAAGATTCAGGCTGTGATCTTGATGACTTGTCAAGGGTTTCAGTTTATTTTTAAAAAGTTATTCTTGTGCCCCAGACAGTGACCAGGTCAGTGGTTCAGGAGACTTTCTTGCTGCTGCCAGCACCACTGTTTCAGTCTGGGAGACAGTCAGCAAAAGAAATTCATAAGAGGATGTCCTGTCCATATCTATAGGAAGGAACACATTTGAGTTTTCAAAGTAGTTGTTTGCTTTCTACTTTTCTTTAAAAAAATAGACTGCCTTCTAGAGTTTTTTTACAAAAAAAAACACAAAACAACAAAAAAACCCAAACAAACAAAACCCCAAAAGGAAAATGAAACCCACAAAACTAAACCAACCAACCAAACAAAATGGAACTTCCTTAGCAGGAACAAGTACTGCATAGGAAGAGGAGTAGGAAGAATAGGAGGACATTTTTTTTCTGCAGTGCTTTTGGCTCAGACTTTAAAACATCTCATGACTTTATGAAACATGAGCACTCAAATGTGTGTTGAAATTATTAAGAACTCAGCAACTGCTCAATAATAACCATTTTTGTAGTGTTGCACTCTGTAGAAGTGAGTATTGCCTAGGATGTGATATTTTTCCTCCTGGCTATTTCAAGTTTTATCAAGCAGAATATCTCTGCTCAGATGAAGAGCAGTCACTCCAGGAGGGAGCAGGATGACCAAGGCAGGGCAATGCAGGAGTCCCCAGTGGCCCCAGCTCAGCTGGCTGGTACAAGCAGAGCGGGAACAGTGACAAGAACAGTTCCTGCTGACTTGCTAGTGGCCATCAGCCAAAGGTGATGAGTCAGGGCACCAAGGACAATCTGAGACATCCAAGTAGGGACATCCAAGCACCAGCAGGGACAGGGCTGGGCTGGACCCACACGTGATGTGTCTCAGGCAAGCTCCAGGACAAGGGGGTGTGTTCGTAGCATGGGCCCAAGGTGGGGTTACTCAGCACAGTTAAAGTCCTTTCGAGGCTCTGGCACAGCTGAAAATCTGAGTAGCTTTCATGTAACTTTTTTTATCATAGTCAAGTTCAGTAAACCTCAAACAACTAGAAATGTGTTGGTATTTCCAGGACAGACTAAAGGAACAACTGCTGCTGCAGTGGCTGGCTCTTGGTGTGCCTTAGACTTGCCTCTGACTCCTGATCAGTTTGTAATTACAAAGGTGTTCATGTCACTCCAGCAACTTCTGTTCTCCTCCTGTATGTGTGCTCTTACCAGCTATCTAAATAAAAACCAGTAAGAAGCTAATAGCATTTGAAAGATGAAGTGACTTTTTAAAATGATAAATTTCTATGGGCAGTTAATTTGCATAAATAGTAATTACTTTACTGAATAAACAAAATCTTTTTAAAACTGTTGTTTGTATGAAACTGTAATTGCAAAATATGTACTATTGTAGCAAAAAATAGTCCAGAGCTTCTCCGTGTCAAGCAGAAACCTTAATAGTCAAAATTACTTGCCTTGTTCAAGTGCATTTCAAGGAGAATTTGTGAGGGATTCTGTTAGTGCATTTCAAGGAGAATTCATAAGAGGGGTTTTTGGGTATAGAACAGTTACAGGGGCAGTACTAATCTAAAAATTCTTCAGTGTGGACAACTGGGGCAGAATGCTTATTAAAGGAAACTTAATGATTTTTCAATATCCCTAAAAAGCAAAAAGACTACTGTAATTTGCTGTTTTCATCTTTCACATTTTCTGAAATGTGTTTTCTTCTTAAATATGTGCTCTTCAAGGAAAACCCACAAAACCTGGATTCAGAGTATTTGAGATGCAAAACTTGTTTTGCAGTGTAATGTCTCACTTAAGTTTTTCTGAGAAGTGGAATGGAAAAAAGAGAAAGGCATGATCGTGTTAATCAGTCCCTCTGCTTGTATTTTTAAGTGATAGCGGCAGATTTCAACAGAATTATTGAAATTGTACAGGATTTTATTTGCCTTGGCAAATGAAAGGATTTTATGCTATTTGCTTATCTCCTAATCCCACTGAATGTATCTTTGTTAGGTTGATTTTGCAAACCGTTTTGTTGGAGGTGGTGTGACCGGGGCAGGACTAGTGCAAGAAGAAATTCGGTTTTTAATCAATCCAGAACTGATTGTATCAAGGCTCATCACTGAAGTCTTGGATCATAATGAATGTCTTATCATCACAGGTTAGTCTTTGCAGAAAATGTTTCACATCTAATTCTGATTTTATATATAGAAAACATATTTCAGGTTGGAGTTTAGTATGTTTAAGTGTATAGGGATAAAAAAAAAGAAGGAAAAAAAGTCAGTACTCATTTGACAAAGAGCTTCCTACTTTATCCCACTCCTTAAGACCATGTTCCAACAGATGCTTTGTGAAAGAAGCAAAAAGAATAAAAAGTGAGAGCAAGCAGACAGAACTTTTTTGTCCTCAGTGTCTCTAGCTAAAGATGCTGTTGGACAATAGAGGTGACAGCCACAATTACCAGCTGTTAGCTGGTCCCAGCTATCAGAGGGTAATGCTTCTGTTAAAGGATGGGGAATTTTTGTCCCTGTCTGGAATTTGTAACATTTGGTGTGATCAGTGGGACTGAAAACTCTGAGAAGAGGAACTGCCTTCTGGTTACCTAAAAAGGGAGGAAGCGGAAGAGGAAAAAATCAGCATCCATTAAAAAAGGGTAGAGAGTCAGGAGCTGTCTCTTAAGGATTTTGATCCTGTGAGTTACACACATGTTTGTATTGCTTGTAAGTTAGTTGTGAGTTTGCAGTTACAACATCAGAACCTAACTGCATCTCCAGTATGTTTTTGAGGGGCTGTGCATGTCCAGGGCTTTGCTGAAAGGGATTTCCTTTTTCTGTCCACCTCTGTCATAGAACTTGGAATGTTTTATTATCCCTTGGATCAAAATAGTGACATTGGGTCTTTTGATTCAAACTGTTAAGAACTGGAGTGGCCCAGGTCGTGGTGTGTGTGTCTTGGTTCTATACATGAGAACAGTGAGCATTTCTCATGACTGAAAAATAAAATTATGCTGTAATACTTTATTTACTCTAAAGAATAGCTGTAAAGAAAAAATATATGACCAGAGAGATCCTTTTGGTAAATATTGTAATAAACTGCATTTTTCAATCTTCTGTAATAAAAATGTTGGGTTTAGATACCTGAGCTGCCTCAAAAAACTAGAATTTGATTAGGTTTTAGAATACAATTCTTGGAAAAGTCCATCTATAGCCCATCTTTCTCTCTCATGCATACACACGAGAAAATTGAACTTAAATCTTGCAAGTCTTACTTTGTCCGGAGTTATTGATTGTACTGGGCAGAACATCGTTTGTTTTCAGTGTTATACTTGGTAATCTTTTTAAGACAGTGTTTTATTTTGGTTTTTCCACCCTGTCAGAATTAATGCCTTTTCTCTGAAAACTTTTTGATAAATTGGCTTTTGTGATTACCTTTTAAAAAAATGAATCAGAAAAAAAATTCTTGGCTATCAGAAACTTCTGTTGTATATTTTGGATATGATACTGTATTAACATATTGAACCACTGTCCTCTGGATGAAGGGGGTAAAAACAGAGCCCAGCTATCAGTCTGAGTAATAACTGATGGGGGAGAATTCTAAATTAATGTTTTGAAAGACCTTCTTCCATTCCCCTGCAAAAAAAAAAAAAAAAAAAAGTGATTTGACATGGACAAATAAAGGTGAGGATGTTTTTCCACTGCAGCAATGTTTAGTTTTCTTGAGTACATTACTGTGTTTTGCGATTAGTATTTGTGATACAGTGTTCTTCACTAATGGAAATATCCATTCCATCATTTTTATTTAATCCCTGGACCTCTTCCACCTTGGTGCTTAGCCAAGTCTCCCATGTCACAATCCTCCTGATAAACTACATTCTTTGTGATGCATCTTGACTCAGAGGCCTAATGGGTATAACTGTGCAGCTTAAATTTGCAGAGGAGTCCAAGAAATTGGGAGATAAATTAAATTTGTTGTGATTGCACAGTATCTGGTTAATATCACTGCTGTAATGAATATGGAACTGGTCAAGCAAACAGTTGAGTTCTTCAGCACAGACATCTACCTACAGAAATGTCAACAGCAATGCCAGAGGTTCCCACAGCTGCATTTCTGGCAGAGCTGTATGAGTGGTTTTCATTCAGATTTTTTAATGCTATTTTTCCCCTGTTTCAGCTCACATGTACTCAGGCAGCATTAAGAGCAATGAAGCTGTGTTCTGTGTTTGCTTTAAATCTGCAGATGGCCAGTCTGGACCACATATTAGCTATGCATTTTTAGAGACTTCTGACCACATTACCAGGCGGCAAATGAGATCAGATAATTGGTTCAGCTGAAAATTTACTCATGGGAAAATGGATTTTCAGCTGGATTTAGCAGGCTGGTCATGCCAGTGTCAGGAGAGCCATAAGACTTATGGTGGTGCAAGATAAGGATTGGAAGAACTGATTGAAAGGGGAAGAAGGACCCTCCCCTCACTTTTGACACTAAATGTACCTTTATGTTGGTGACTACAGAACTATACTCTTGCAATTTTCCCATGTACTTTTTATTCAGTGCTAGTGGTACTGCCTCTCCACAGGTAGAATCTCTAGCTCATAAGAAATACTAAAGGAACACTACGATGGGTTTTTTCCAATCCCTGGGAACATTATAATACTAAATAATAATAAAATATAAAGCTAGGCTGGGGAGCCTGAGAAAGGTCTGTTTATTGTTAGTAATAGTTGCAAATCTTTCTAGGTTGATGAGATCCCATAAACACCAACATTTGGCAGTTTCACTTTTTGTCTAATACTGTAACTTTTACCAGTTTCACAAAGGATAGATTTTTGAATGGTACCTGTGTATAGATTTTTTTTGACTTTAGGTAGGCTTTTTAAGGTTTTGTAGCTTGTTTTTGAAGTAACGATGCAACTCTGCTATTATGCATTTTTTTGTGGTTTGCCTTTTCTTACCCCTTTATTTTGTTTAATAGGAAGAAAAAAGATTCACCAGAAACATTAGCAGTTTATCCCATACTGCTTCTGTTCTCCCAGCAGCAAAAGTTTATATCCCAGTAGTTCACAGGAAAAAAGTGCTACCAGATGAATAATCATTTTTGTCTGACAAATTTCCAGAGCTTCACTTATGAAAAGTCATTGATTTTCATTAACTTTGGATTTCTGGGACATGACTTCAGAGTTTGTGTGATTTCTTTGAGTTTCTCTGCTATTGATTTTTTTATATATGTGTGTGTGTTTGCTTGTTTGTTTGTTTCCTGGTGCCTTTGTCATCAGACACTGCAATTCCATAAAAATTAATGAAAACAATGAACCTTGAAAAAGCCAGCTTAATACTTTAACTATCACTTAATCTATCCTGGTACAATATCGTGATAACCTAGTGTTTTCTTTCCACATATTAGACACAAAAGGAAATGCTTCCTTTTTGAAGTTGGAAGTTTTGTTAAGTTGTCCTCTAAAGAGAGCTCCCAGAAAAGTCACATACTTCCCTTGTCTGTCTTTTCTTGCTGCATGCTTGGACACTTTTTCCAAGCATATCAGTAAAACTGAATTTTGTGTACGTCAGGAATAGTCTTGCTGAAGGTTGATAGCCTGCAATTCAATTAGAAAGCTGATTTCTGAATATTGAAGCTGTTTGTGGTTGTCCTGTGTGCGAGGGCACGGATGTGTGTGAATATATGGGCATACTCTGTCATCCACAGTTTTAAAATGGTTTTGTATCAGGAAGTGAACTCCTGGTGAGGAATCTTTTACCATCCCACTCATTTTGCATAGCAACTTCTCAAAATAGCCTTGAGTGGGGTTTGTGTGCCCTCAGTATGATTAATCATCTAGACAATTCTAAATAAATAATGAGTGGATAATAGGACAGATGAGTTAAAGAAGCACTGATAAGTCTTGGCAGTTAAAATTAATAAGGATAAATGGGGAAAATGTCTTGAAGGATATACATAATTTTGAACGGTTTTTAACAGCTTGTTTCCTGTGCTTGAGACTACTGAAGGCAAACATTCAAATTCCCTTGTCAGTGAGGTTTAAAGGTAATAGTTTTATGTTTTTTATTGTTCAACTGTAATTGTATTTTTATTTAGAGATTGGAAAACTAGATTAAATTTAAATATTTGTATTCTCAGGGTATTGCTGATCTGCAAAATAGTTAGGCACTACTCTTGTCTTAATAATCAGATATTTTGTGCTGTCAACTTTCATTTCTTTCTAAAACCTATTTTTTCCTGTTTATAGGCATAGCTGGTGTCACTAATTAAGGGGTTGCTCAACAGTTCTCTTCTTACTCTTAATGTTTATAACTTGTGCCAAATCATAGCTGTTTGAACTGAAATTCTCCAAACAAGTTACCTTTTTCAGTCCCTACTTCCAAAATTCAGCTGATATGAGCTCAGAACAGGGGAAAAGTTGTGGTTCTTCTGTGGCATTACTTCAGGAGTATTTCTTTGAAGTGTTTGTGAAATCCACAGGTTTTGAAGCAAGTACTGAAGCTCTACAAAATGAGGGGAAAGAGGCAGCCTTTTAGAAATGATCCTTGTTCTCAGCTAAGATGTGCTCCTTCTCGGTCTGTGGATAAACCATTCAAAAGGAGTTGATATAGCAGAGCATAGTAGCTGAAATTACTGGTGGTCTTAATAAACTTTCTTACACCCCTTCATACTTGACAAGATACCCTGTGGGACCTTTTCAGGAGCAGCCAAGTGTGTTCCAGAGTGTGTTTTCTTGGGTCCTTGTGCTTTTACAGACGTGGCTTGTGGTGCTGACCAGTGCAGCTGAGAGCAGTGGCCTTTAGTCCAGTCAGTGCCATTAAGTGCTGTGAAATCTGACAATTCCTGTCAGGAACCATAGTGCAGAAATGATGCTGGACAAACATAAAACAAAAGGGAAGAGGTGTACTGGGTAATGAGACTACACAGCCTTAACAGTCCCAGCTATGCTTGTGTAAGGTTGCCCTCAAGAGCCTGTAGGGCAACAGCTTGGGTAACACTGGCACGTTGGAAATCTGCTTGGTTTCTGACCATCAGGGTTTTCTTCGGTTTTGTTACAGTAATAAAATGTATAAACATGTAGCTCACCAAATACATTTGAATTTCTTTATATTTTTCTTCTCACGTTTCCTAAACTGTCAGCCCAGATGTTTGCTAAACTGTGTTGAAGTGGGGCTGCCACATTCTTAATGGCAGAGTGACTGTGTTACCATTGTGTTTACATGCAGTAGCCTCAAAAAACAAAAAAAGAAAGGCAAGGTGCCATCACAGTTCTTGTTAACCAAATATTAGCTGGTAAAACTTCAAAGATGACAGGCAGTTTATTGAGAAGTTGTTGAACTAGAGGGTGGTGAAGTTGAAAACTGTGTTGTTGCTATACCCCAGGCAGCAGACAGATCTGCACTTGTAATGTCCTGGGGTGGATGTTACTCCTCACCTGTGGGAAAGGACCTTTACAAGAAGATCTTGTTCTCTATTTTCCATTGCTTCTGGGAGCTGCGTGTTCATTGGGAGAAGCAGTGACTCCTATCAGAGTTTCGCCAAGTGAGAAAAATATGTACATATTTTATAAGTAATGTGGAAAATCCTTTGTTTCAGGTACTGAGCAGTACAGTGAGTATACAGGCTATGCAGAAACTTACCGGTGGGCAAGAAGCCATGAAGATAAGACCCCAAGGTAAAGTTTAAGTGAAGGAACAAATAAATGTTACAAATTTGATAACTTAAGTATTTCCTAGCATTTGCCTTAATAGAGTATTTGACTGCTTGGTGCTGCTCTCTTCAGTAGAGCAAACAAGTGAAAAAGTTATATCATTAATAATGCGATGATAATGCTAACAAGTGGTACCTGACCACATGTCAGTTCTTAGACCAACATATTTTATAGTTGTATGTATTTAATCCACATTTTTGTTAGGATACAGACTGAGCTGTGGATTGTAATGTCACAAGGAGTTTGACAGTGATACTTCAGGTGCAACTGGGCAGTTTATGTGTGGCAAAATAAGGTTTAATATCATGAATCTGAGTAGAGAGCTCTGAGCTCTTGAATTTGTTTCTCCAACAATGTTGTTTTAGTGTATACAAAATATTATTCATTTGGTACAGAAACATACACAATGTACTCATTTAAATGTTAGAGGAAGACAGGGAGACACTGACCTTGCAGTGTTCTGACGTACTTAATAAATGGCGCTGTGTAATTGGATTTGTTTCATGTTTATGCCCAAATTTGTAGTGCAACCTGTCTCACTTCTGATGCTGCTTTCCTTCCCAACCCACAGACAGAGAGCACTCCATTGTCTGTTACAAGTTCACGTTTTTAAGTGCTTCTAACAGAGAAGCTCTGCAGAGAACTACTCATTTTGAGTTATGGTTATATGGCCAATATTAAACAACTAATGTCATCTCCTTTTCTTCCCCCTCCGATTTTAGGGATGAATGGCAACGCCGCCACACTGAAATTGTTGCTATAGATGCATTTCACTTCAGACGTTTCCTTGATCAGTTTAGTCCGGAGAAAATTAGAAGAGAGCTCAACAAGGCCAGTAACTTCTTGAATCAGCCTGCAGTCTAATGTTTACAGTACCTTTTCAAATATTTTTGTGTTATTGTCTTCAGCTAAGGAAGTTCTTGCATGGTTGTGTCTCATATAAAGAAAAGGTGAACTTCAGGGTTTTGCTATCCAATGTTAAACGCTAGATGGTCAAATATAACTCTTGTCCTTTGATTCACTATTCAAGGATATAAAATACTTTCAAAAATATAAATGGAACTTGAATATATGTTTTGTTAACTCTTCCCTGTCCTGCTTCTAAATGACAGGCTGTGAGTTGGAGTTCTTCAGCGTGGAGAAGAGAAGGCTTCAGAGAGAGGCTTGTTTCATCCTTCTAGTACCTAAAGGGGGCTTAAAAAAAGAGAGAGAGGGACCTTTTATATAGGCAGATAGTGACAGGATAAGGGTTTTGACTGAAAGAGGGCAGGTTTAGATTAGATATTAGGTAGAAATTCTTTACTGTGAGAGTGGTGAAGCACTAGAACAGGTTGGAAGCTGCGGATGCCCCATCCCTGGGAGTGTTCAAGGCCAGCTTGGATGGGGCCCTGAACAACCTGATGTGGTGAATGGCATCCCTGTCCATGGCAGTGGTGTTGGAACTAGATGATCTTTAAGGTCCCTGGCAACCCAAACTATTCTGTGACTCAAAACTATGGTATTAAGTTCTTTTCCTATAATTTGCTCTGTTGAATCCTACTCAGCCATGCAGTCAAGGTGGAGAAGGAGGTACCTCATGTTTTAACATGGTGACAGTTCATAGATGTGGTGCCACTTCCTTTTCTTCCACCTTTCTTCTCTGCTCTTGGGATATCGATGGAGTTTACCTGGGAGTTTATCTTTTCATATGTTGATGACTTCTTGAGTTCAGATCCAGCTACTCATAAATCCCTGTTCTTTATTTTCACAATAGCTGTAAGGGCTGTTGCAACTGGATATATGTATATACGTGCCAGTTAGAGCTTACAGTGTTCAGAAGACTGACAAATCAGGCCAGTTTTAATCCTTTAAACAAAACTTCTAGACTGACATTCAAGACCAGCACGCTTCCTACTGTTAATTATTAACCATTATCAGTATGTATTCAAAGTTGTCAGTCCTTGACCTTGCCCTGAGTTATCTGTGTGTATACAGAACTGCACTTTGCAGTGTCTGTGGTCCTTGATAGTCTCAGACATCAAAGTTGACAGGCTGAAGAGCTCTTTGACAAGGGAAGTGGGACTGTGGTAGGCATATTTTTTCTGTACTTTGCCCTCGCTGTTTTGGGATTTTGTCCTTAAAGAAGATATTTGAGATGGTTCACAGCCCTTGGTTTCAGCCCTGGACTATGTTTTGCATAATGTTTGGGAACACTGGGTTACTTTCCCAAGACATTGCAGGTGCTTTAACATTTGCATGGCTGAGATTTTCCCGTCATTTGGTTTTCTTGTTTCACTGCTGCTCTTTAGTTGAAGTTAAAGCAGTCTTTCCCAGGTTTTGAGGTTGTACTTTTTCAGTGACTAGTAATTGCTGTCAGTGAGCTGTTTATAGTTAAGAGACCTTTAGGTTTCAAGCTGTGCCCATGTTTTCAAGGCCTCTGCTACTTTCCTCCCCACAAATTTTATCTCCTATCGTGCTGTATCTGGAATCAGTCTCCAGTTCACACAGCGAATTCTCCTAAGCTAGTAGGAGTGCTACTGGGCTGGAATGAGGCCCTTGCACAGCTGGTGTAAGGCATAGGTGGTGAAAGGTGTGTGTCCTGTTACAGCAATGGCAGTGCTGTTTTTACTGAGCAGTTGAGTACAAGAATGGTAATTCAGTTCTGCTGTATTAGTGTGCTTGTGTTTGGGTTCAGAATGTGCTAATGAGGAAGTCTCCTTAGTGTCCTTCTACATTTAGAGATGAATCATCTGCTTTAGCTTGGGTGCTGAATATAAGGGCTCTGTGCTGCAGGTGTTAAAGCCTCCTGCTTCCTGTAGTATAGGAGGGTGTAGAATAATATAGGATGTATTTTAAACATATTCAAAATAGAAGCACACTGCCCTGATTCTCAGTCAGAAAGGGAATACACCCCCTCGAGATGATGTACAGTGCTGATGGACTAATTTAATTTACTTGTAAAACCTTAGCATCTTGACTAACGTAACATTCATCAGCTTGTTTCTTCATGGGTGGTAATGAAATTAGCCCTGAAAAAGAGAGTTAAGTACATTTTGTAAACTTCACTGATATCTTAGAACAAAATTCAAATTACCTACATCAGCGAATTTATGATCTGCCTGCAATTTTCAGTTTTATTGAGCGAGTTTGGATTTTGAAATAAAGTATGGTAGATCACTGCAACTTTTATAAAGTGTATTCATTTGGCTGGTGTTGTTTTATGAAGACTAATTGGTATTTATAGAAAATTTTAAGCCTGAGGTAATTCTCTGCTTTTTACAGTAAAAATTTCATCAAGCTTATTGGAGTTTCTACAGTATTTTAATTATTCAAATATTTTTTCATGTACTGTGGTGGGGTTTTCCATTTTATTTACTATTAACCTTAAGAGTTTTCTATGGGTAAAAGCAAGTTGATGGAATAAGCTGCAACTGCATTTCTAGTATGATTTAATAAATCAGGACCCAGTAAGCACAGTATATGCAGACAGGCTTTGAAATGCAAGTGTTAGTAAACAGAGCTCAGGATCCAGAAGTTCTTTTGTTTGTCTGTTGTTTTGTTGGACAATATGAAATTATTGAAAATGACCTCAAGTGATTCTTCTTGTAACGTGTATCTTCTTATAAGCATGTATGATCTCTCTAAGACTGTTTGTCTTAAAGAACCAGATGTTCATTCCCAGTTAGTTTTCTCAAAAGTTAGATGTCTGAGGCTGACCCTTGTTTCTGGTATAACCCATACCCAGAACACAAGATTATAATGTCTGAAGTCAGTTGTTCAGAGAAAGAAAAAAATAAATAATTTTATCTGATTTCAACGTTAAGGTTTGCAGATCTATGTGTAAGACATGTCACTGTCTTTGCTACCCCTTGAAATGATTGCCTAGCAATGATTTCTCCAATTAAAATTCTGCTTTCCAAATCCTAAGGAACAACTGACCTATAACTGAACTGGCAATCCCACTCATAAATGTCATTAAGACTTTTTATAGCCCCCAATTTAAAAAAAACTGCAGCTTATTTGACAAGAAATGCTTCCCTAAGAATTATGGTATGCAGAACACGTTTCAAATGGTGCTGAGTGTGAAAACAAACATGAAAACAAACCAATTGTAAGCATCACACAACTTCTAGTATATGTTCTCTCATATTATTTAGAAGTTGTTACAACTCAAAACCAGATTCATTTATGTAGTTCAAAAGTTACAGCTTTTCTGCTTCTGATATGGAAGTAACTCCTTTAAAACTGCACAGAAACCTTTCATATTCCTGTATTCCTAGGTGAAACCTATCTAAACTACTGATGCATTGTCCCTTTAAAAAAAAGGGGGATGAGTTTTCTTTATCCTTTATTTGCTATAAAAAATCATATGGGAGCACTCACTTAGATATTTTTCTTCATTGCTGTTGAAGTCCTCCCAAGTATTTGCTGATGACTTACTGTGTCTGACGAGAGAGGTTTTTTTCTCCATGTCCTGGTGACTTGAGAAATACATGCCCATTAAGTAAAAGCTGAAAAGAAAATGGCATTCTGTTGCAATACCAATCCATTTCCCTGCTGGGAGGATGGACTTTGAAGAATTATTGTCCCCACAGCCGGTGTACTGGCTTGCTTGGCCCACAAGTTTGGTGCAAACTTGCTTTGGACATTAATCACACTAATGGCTCTGACTTGAAAGAGCTGCGTGCACCTGATGGTGTGTAAGTGCTCCTTATGCAAACTCTGAATCAGGGCACCCTGCTAAATTATAACAATTATAACAGAAGTCTGAATTTGCAGCTTGGAGTCAAACTGTGGGTACTTCAGTCTGTATTAGACATTTTGTACCAATTCAATACATTTTTGTACTGTTGAAAAACTTCCCAAAGGAATTTGTCTTTTCTTCTATACATGGAAGCACCTGCATTTACTCAAGGTTTATTAGTGAATACCACACTTTCTCCTCTTTCCCTCATTTGTTTCATTAGACCTGTACTGGACACAGCAGTTCAGCTGTTATGTAAGCTAAACAGGCCAAAAAGCAACAAACATGATACCATCTACTGTTAGTTATTCTCTGCTCTGGATATCCTGATAAGTTTCCTCGAGCTGTGATGAAATCCCTGGGACCTCAGCACCTGTATCTTAATTTTTAATTTGGATCCAAATAAGGCAAAATTCTTTCTACCTTAAATGTTTTTGTTACTGCTCTGAAATTTAAAGGAAGACTAATGGTATATTGAAGTAGTTTGAATTTAGCATTGCTAGAAGACAATACTGGGTTTTGCTGTCATCTTAATGTTTGAAAGTATTGCACCAAATTGCCTGTCAAATTCATCTTCTGCCTCTTATCTGCATGCAGGCCTACTGTGGCTTCTGTCGACCCAATGTTCCACCTCAACACCTCTCTGCAATAGCCACAGGGAACTGGGGATGTGGTGCCTTTGGAGGGGACTCCCGATTAAAAGGTAAATTGTAGGAATTTCCTTACGTCCAGATGAATCAAATAACTTAGATTTTGATCCTTGGCCATATGATTTCATTCAAATACATTTTTTGGTTTTATCCTAATACATTTTAGCCAAGAATTGGAATAATAATTAAACTGTCCATAGAACTGGTTCATTACCTTCGATCTTTAGGCCATGAGTAATGTGGCCTTAAACAATAAAAAAGCACACTGCTCTTTTCAGTTTGAAGTTTGAGGTAAGAATGTGATGGTAAAATGCCAGGTTTAGAGGGACCTGTAGCACTGAAACCTTCAAAAGCACAGCCACACAGTTTTAGTTCTCAAAAGAACATGTTCGTTGCAGTTGTCAGTCATATAAATCAGTTGGCCTTTCTGGAGCAGACTTTTTAGATTATGCCTGAAATTCATATCTCTGCAGAGCTGTTTAAAGTACCTGGTAATTTGCAAGGCTTCACGAATTTGCTGGCAATGCTTAATGTTTAGTTTTGCTCCTTAATATATTGCTGTATGCCAGAGAGGTTTCCAGTCACTCAGACATGCTTCTTTCTTTCCTGACTTGCTTGTTATATCACTCACTTTCTCATGTTCTTTTATATTTAATTAGAGTATTTATAATGCAGCAGATATCACATGCCTACATTTATTTAAGACCTTTTCCATCAAGTCAAGAACTGATGGATCCTGACATGTAAATTGATATCCTGACTCATATAGTTCTAAGTAGAAATTTACATTTTTCTTGTTTCCAGACATTTGGAGAGTATTTAAAATTTTCTTTTCTGAATGGCTTTAAGTAGATACATTGAGACAAACAATCATCAGGCTCCCAGCTTCATTAGCTTTCTTTCTTAATGTGTTTTATTCATTGAGCATCTATTTTTTTCTCAATGCTCATTGATTTCCTGACAGTTGTTTTTTGATTTCCATTAGATAAAATGGGCTGCCAAGTGCAGATTGTCAATACCAGGAGCAGTATTCACTGCAGGATCTGAATGTACTTGGTTTATGTTAGGGGAGTTTAATAAACACTTTAATTTGCATAAGGTCTTTGTCTTGGGTCTGAACTTTCATATTCCATGTATATTTTTTTAGTGTATGGATTTCTGGTTAGAATATGGCTCATCTGATCTAACTCATTATTTTTTCAACACTGGACTTGTATTTTAGAATAGGGATTGCTCACTGCATCACTGAGTCCAAGTAAATAGCTTTTGTTGTCTACAGTGGCTTGACAGTGTATTGCAATGACAAAATAGTTTTCATAGTTTAAAATCTTACTTTTTGATTTAATATTCTCAAATATCCACCCTTGTCCTTTCAGAATTAATATCTGGATCTGTAACAGAGCCTTCAGATCCACCAAAATATTTGATGTGATTGGATATAACTGGATAAGTGCCATAATGCAGTGTGATATTTTGTCATGATTTTTTTCAGTTACAAATTAAAGGAACACAATTGTGTATAAAATATGGTTTCACTCAAGGTCAAAAATGATGCATAAACTTAAATCTTCTTAAGGGAGAAAAAAAATAACCTGACTTGATAAAAAGACCTGGTATATAAACAAGCCAAATTCTAGCTAAGTTAGTGAAATTTCTACAGAATTTCAGTATAAACTCAAGACTTTCAATACTGAAAAAAATAGGTTTATAAAATTGGGAGAAGTTGGAAGATCTTGTCTTGCTTTTGAAACCAGAGGATAATTTAGCAATTAGTAGCTGCAGGAGCTCTGTGCAACTGTCTAAAGACTGGAAAAGTGTTGTTTTATTGAAAATGCAAAGGAAGTGATCTGATGAGGCATTTCATAAATACATAAACTTAACTTCTGTCAGTTGTGAGAAAACGCTCCTTAGCTGAACTGGTGTTCTTAACTTACCTGAGGAAATGTGCTTTAACTTACCTGAGGGAAGAGTGCTTTTAAAAGGCCCATGTAGGATTAGAGGGAGGAGAGGAAAGCATGCCTCTGCCTCATGGAAATGCTGCCAAGGGGCTGCTGTGGTGTTTTTGGGGTCCTGGATTGATGCCCAACAGGCAGCGAGTGCTGGGTGTTGGCCCCAGCGTGGCATCGCTGTGCCTGCAGTGGGACTTCAGCTCTATTGCTCTTCCTGTGATGCTTCTGTCTGTATCAGCAGCGTGGACATTTCACATGGTATTGTATATCATTAATGTCCAGAAGATTGTGAAGTCTGATTCCTGACAGAAGTTTTGATCCTTGTTTCATATGATCTGTGGCAATTCAAAATAAACAGGAGGATATTTTTAATATCTTCTGTAAAGTGAAACTTCATTGTTTGTTTGGAATGAATAATAATATTCATTAGGTTCTGTTCCCCTATGCAAGCCAGTTAATTGTACTCTTTAAAAGCTGAACTACTGAAGCTTTACTAAATCCACAGCTGGTTCAGTAGTTTAATTAAAATATCATTCCCAGATTGAGATTAATTTCACATGTGAATCATGTAATTTGTTATTTTAGCAATGGGTTTACAAGACTGTTTTTTGATTAAAGAATGCAGTATTTTATTAGGTCTCTTTATAAAAATGTGAAAGATTCTTGAGCTATGAACAGCTTTCTACTTAGCTTCCACTAGCAGGGGGCAATGCAATATGTATACTGTTTTATTTAACATTAATCTTTACAAAGACAATATTAATCACATTGTAATTAACTCTATTTACTGGGTAGAAAAGGAAAGAATTAATATCAGAACTACACCAATAGGCACTGCAGTTAAGACAAGCTGCAATAGATTAAATAGTTGCTGGGGTCCATTATTTGGACTGTGGGAACGTTCCCTGGAATGAAGGTGTGATTGATCACTTACCTCTGTGACACTCCAGCCTCGCAGGACTGGTTGGTGAAAGAGCTGTGCTCTTTGAAGTTTGGTGCTACCTGAAAGGGTCCTTGTTCTTCTTCTCCCCTTTCTTGTTCTTGGCTCTGTGGTCTGGTGCCCTCCCTTGCCTCAGCTCTGGCTCTTGGCAAACCTTCACTCAGCCAGTTCAACTGCTGTTCTAGCAGAAAACAATTAACTCCTACAACTTTTCTGCCAGTTTGGTAAATGGAATTGACACAATGAGATGTTTGAGTATCTGAGAGCTGCAGAAGAGTCAGGAGGTGGGTGAGGAGCAGCCAAAGCCACTTTCTCCAGTTGCAGTGGGTCATTAGCTTGGCTCTGGACTGTTGATCAATACCCCACATCATTTCTCAAGATGAATCTTCAAAAAAATGTTTCCAAAATAGGAAGCATTTTACTTCGTTCTCCCTATAGAAGAACAGAGTCTGTCTATATTGTAATGTTGGGCATTGACAGAACTTGGGATGCAGCTTGGTCAGCGAGTGTGACAGAAAGCTGGAGGTTAAATAACATGAATTGCATTCCTGGCATCAGCACTCGCTTCCTACAGGTCAGCCTGAGCCATCATATTCCATGCTGCCTGTCTCTGTTACAGGTGTGGTGGACGCCTGAAACTGCACAGTAAGAGGCTGCAGAACCACAGATACCCTTTGGGGAGCTAAAAGTTGGGTCAGCTCCTGCTTTGCATAGCTTACCTAACAGCAGGGTTGGCTCCATTCCTTGTGACAGGTGGCAGAGCATGGAAATGGTGATGTGCTCATGGATGCTTTGTACCCCACTGGCTGTGGCTCAATGCAAGCAGCTCAAACCAGGATGTGAGATGGGGCTTTGTTGCCTTGTGCTGCCACAGGCACTTATTAGATAATTAGTGGCTGCATCGTGCTTGAGGGCAGGCACAGACCAGAATAAACTCCTCTGAGTTTTAAGCACATTGTTTATCTGCAAAGTAAGGGTGGTTGTCACAGGCAGCTCTAGCAGAATACTTCAGCCTCTCAGCTGCAGTGCCCAGTATTCTTAACTTTAAGTACCCGTTGTTCAAATTGCTTTGCAGTGTTCACCTGGAAATGGGTGCTGTGATTCTTTGCTGTAAACTTAGGCTGTGTTTTTCCCTTCAGCAAGTGGTTTGATCCTGTATTCATGTGTATAATCTCTTGTTGTTTCAGCCTTAATACAGATACTGGCAGCTGCTGAGGCTGGACGTGATGTTGTTTATTTTACCTTTGGAGATGTGGAGCTGATGCGGGATATTTACAGCATGCATACTTTTCTCTGTGAGAAGGGCCAAACTATTGGTGAGCATAAAAGAATCTTTCCTTGCAGCAAAGAGAGTTAACCATCTCTGTAAGTAGAAATTTTCCAGTAGGAGTTGTTGTCATCAAGTCCTGAACACAAGCACATAGGTCTTGGTTTATTTGTACCTGCTTCCACAGTGGGGAACTCTTCTGATTCAGAGTCAACAGTGTAATCTCTTAGAAGACTTCTAGAATTCTTTTCTAATTCACTTGGGAGTTAAGCTGTAGATTCTGGAAAATACAGATATATGTGGTAGGTAGAAGGTTTGCAAAAGCTTTTAGTATAACTCAGTAGTGCTTTGAAAAGGGAAAAATCTGCTTACACATTCCTGATACAGATTTGTCTTACAGTGTAATTGGCAATACACTTGTTAGTAACGTGTGTGCAAGCCCAGTGTTGGGATAGCTGGTGCAGGAAGTTGAGGGAGCCCATCCTGTGTTCTGAACAACCTGGAAACAGTCCCGTTCCCATTACACGGCTGTCTGCCTCCTCTACCACTGCTCATTTAGAGACATTCCTAGCCACTATGTCAGTGTGCACGTGCTTTTCTAGCCTTCGTTTGCAATCGTACATTGCTCAGACGGCATGTTCTTACATGTATTTTAATTATTTCTTTTCTTTTTGTTTTTAAGGGGACATTTATAGGCTGTTGCTGAGATACTACAATGAAGAATGCAGAAACTGTTCCACTTCAGGACCAGATGTCAAGCTGTACTCATTCATATACAACACCATTGAGTCCTATGCAGATTCTACTGATGATGATGAAGAAAAAGGGTTGTGCTTTGAAGATTAAAATAAATGTGTCTGATCAGAATAATGTTTATCTCCTCCCACTGGTATATTGTGTGAAATGCTGGACATAATGAATGAGCTGGCTTAACTCAATCTATATTGACTCCATTGGTAGTTAGGTATAACATTCAAACAAAAAAACTACAAACACCTTTGAGAGACCAGATTTATTTGTTTGGTTTCATACATGAAAATCTTGTTCATGTGTGTACAGAAAAAATTTCTTTGATAAGTCTGAATTGCGTTATACCTTGTTAAGTAGAATATTTTGGTACACGTGTATTTCACTCACAAGATTGCTGAAAGACTTCAGAATATTTCCCTGTACTCCTTTGCCTTTATTTTTCAGAACTCTTGTGTAGATTCCTTATGTGGGCTCAGAGCTGGAGTGCAGGCAGCCATGGAACTCTGGGATGATGTCAGAGAGAAGCGTTGTAATGATTGTTCTTGCTGAAAATTGTCATAATCCTTAAGACTGCCACGGTGCCATCAGTGTTCTTACCAAAGTTTTCGGTTTTTTAACTTAAAATGTCCTGGGTTTAATCTATTTTTTTAATAAATGGTTAAAAATGGGAAGATTCTGGAGGAGTTATAATGCATTTCACAACTGCATGGTCTTTATCAAATCAGGCATAAAGGTTAGCATGAAGAGGTAGAGAAAAAATGAAGTTTGGGAGAGTGGGAAAATGAGAAATGTGACCAAAGCAAAGGGAAACATTTTCAAGTGAAATTGTTCAATACCATTTTGTTGGTGCTATCTGTTACCACATTGAACAAGGTCTTAGTCTATTTGAAGTTTCTCAAGGTTCAGTGCTGCTGCTGATATTTGAATTAAGGTCTGTTGATTGTGTTTATATTGTCATATCAGTTCTCCTTTATCGCAGAGTGCACATATGTGAGTGTAAGATCCCCATGGGATAACGTGAGTGAGGAAACAAATCACATATCAGTGGGAGGAAAGTCTGCAGGCTACAGATAAGGACATGAAGTCTTGTTAGGAGTTTGCACCTGTGTCATTTTAGACATGGGAATGGTAACAGCGTCTACTACAGATGTGTAAAAACTGTGCTGTTACTACCTATGAATACCAAATTAGTGTTGCTGTAGTACATTGATAGTTTACAAAAAACTGCAGATACATCTGTGATGAAACTTTTTCAGGTCTATGTACAGGGCCAATCCAGTGAGACTTGTCTATTAGTAGTTTAAGCTCGGATTAAGCCCAAATTCCTCAGTTTAGCCTCTTCTGTGTTAGACTTTCAGGTCTGTTATGGTTGCTGTCACAAGTTAGCAATACAAGTAAATACAAGTAAAATACAAGTAAAGCTGCAGCAGGAAATGTAGTGACCTAAGCCTCTAATATTGATGAATCCTTTTGGCTTATGTCAGATAAAACTTCTCCAAGCCTCAAAGACACCGTGGTAATTAAATGCTGGAAGCTGTTGGCAGTCTGGCTCACAATAAAGCACTCACTGAGCAGTTCTGGGGGAAGCAGTAAGAAAGAGTTTGGGTTGTTTATAAACACCTTAGAGTGCTGTACCTTGGCATTAATCCTAAGTGGGGGGAGGTGATGGACACAGCAGTTTAAGGGTTTTTTTCTCCTGTTCTTCCCACCAGCTGTAGTTTTCTCCACCCCTCTCCATTATAAGGAAAAGATCTGGGCTAGAATTTCAGGCTTTTTTCTGTGTTTGCAATCTGTGTCCTCAGATTTAGCAGAAATCCTCCTCCTGATGTTTCAGTGTTGGCTCAGATTCTGGTAATAGGCATAACAGTGTTTTATTAGCTGTTTAGATCTTATTTGGGCATTTAGGTTAAACTAGGATAGTGCTTCTAGATGCATTGCCAGATGATAAATGTACCCTATTAATTATGACAAGTGATGGAAAACTGGTGCTATCTGCCAAACCTTCTTTACCTTACTACTCAGGATTTCCTATAAGAAGAGATAAACAGAATTTGTTCCTAAACAACTGGAAAAAACAGCAAAAAGCTTTAGGTGGCTAGATATGACCTCCCTTTTATTGTAGCTAAATGCATTTTTATTAGTGCAATATTAATTTTCTTTGTAAGAAGTGGTTGGTCAGGTATGAAAAATGTACCAAAATATGGTGGAATGAAATTTTGCTTCAACTCTGGAAACAGAAAAATTTAGATTTGGAAAGATTCTCTGATGATCATATTAGAGGAATTCAGTTGAAAGAGTTCTTGCAGTGTCAAGTGCTTCCTTGATAATCCTAGTCTTTTTATGCAGTCTGTAGTTTCAGTGATACTGAGAATTTTCTAATATGGGGAAGAAAGCTTTTGTTTGAGATCATTCATTAGGATACCATATGTTTTTTCTTTTCCCTTATGAATTATGTTTGTGTGGACAGGACGAGAGGAAAATAACTCATTTACTGTGTTGTCTGAATAAGAGTGACATATCCTGCATCTTGTGGTATGTTCCTGATCTTGAAATGGGCAATGTTGCAAGAAGGCTTTGACTATGACTTCAATCACAGGCAGGCTGAAGAATTTATTTTTCTTGGGTTTTGGGGGGGTTGGAGTTTCTTTTGTGTTTTGTTTGGTTTTTTGGTTTGGGGTTTTGTTTTTTTTTTGGTAGGGTTTTTTGTGTTTGTTTTTTTTTTGGGGGTTGGGGTTTTTTTGGTTGAATTGTTTGTTTTTTCTTTAAGCAAAATAGCCCAAAATTAGCAAGGAAACAACTATGTTACATTCTCATGATGTTCTCATTCAGTAAAAGCTGAACTGCTCAGAATGCTGCATGTCAGCCCAATACTGCTCTGCATCTTTCTTTTTCCCTCCACCCACCACTCTCTGTTTACAAACTACCCAAAACTTTTTATTTCTCGGGAGGCCTTTGGTGCTCTGCTGGAATTAGTGTGGAATGGAGATGCTGATGGTCTCCTTGTGCAGCCTAGAAAGCTTCAGTTTCACTCTTCCAGAAACCTGTTTATGGAGTATTCCGGGTTTGGGTTTTTTTATTACTTTAGGGATGTTTGCTATATGATTTCCAATAAAAATAAACTTCCTACCAAAAGTTTTGTTTTATACTTTGTAGCAGCTAAATGGAATGTTTATGATGGAACTACAACAGGCAGTCATGTCGATTGCAATGTTGCCTCATAGTCAAGTTTGGTGTTGGAGCACTTCTGTTGTTTTATGGCTCTTGCACCTCAATGGCTCGGTTTTGAGGTTTTCTTATCTGATGAGGAGTACCCAATACTGTATATATTAATTTATAAACTGTTCAAGTGTTCCTGACAGTCTTCTAAACTTACAGTTTATGCACCATTATATTGATTTTTCTGGATATGTATGCTAATGTTTACATAATTTTGTAGGAATATGATTAAAAAATTCTGACTGAAGCAACGTTTTGTGATTTTTTCCTTTCCAGGACAGAGAAATTCCAGCACATTTGAACGCGTGTGGCACAGCACTACAGTTAGTTTTAGCAGTAAGTTGTCACATTAAACATAGCTGAGAAGTTTGTTCTTACTGTACAGTATAGTGGTTGCTTCCATCTGTGCAGCACTGTAAAAAGGAATTAGAAACTGTAAATTGGGAGGGAGTGGTTTCATCCGTGTATGGCCATATGCAGACATTTTGATGGTATTTCCCAAGCTTTTTAGGTAAGCAAGCAAGTGTTGGGAATACTCCTTGAACTTCATGAAGGAAATGTCACTAAACAAAAGCAAATAAGCCCCTAAAAATATATAAATAATAAACATGTTGCAGAAGTGTTTGTAGGGTTTGTAAGAGGGGGGCTGAAATCCTCCTAAATGAGATTTCCAACAGCTTTTCAAAAATCTTGTTTTAAGCCAGTAAAGAATTCATTTTTTTTAGCGTTGCAGAAAATTAGGATAAAAATACTATATGATAGCTCCAGGTTTTATATGCAGCTGTGGTTATCAGGTTTGCAGTGTTAATACTGAAGGATTTAGTCCATCATAGATGGATCCCATTCTCCACAAGCAGTGTCTGGCCGCGAGCAGGATGAGCTGGGGATGGCAGGGCTCTGATTGCGTGATGGCTGGGTAGGGAGAAGGGTTGATGTCTTTCATGTGCTACCTTGTAAACCCCACGAGGGGGGAGGCAGAAGGTGCTCACGCTCTGCTGCTGCAGTGCAAAAGCAGCTGCCAGTCTCTCCTGTCCCACCCTGTCACTGATCTCACTGTAATCAGCAAACGCCCTCAGGAATACACTGTATTAATTCTTAAAAGCACCTGAGGCCTGGGAAGACATCCCTGGGAATAAAGCACAATTTGCTTCACCATGGGCTTTTCCCTTTTTTTCCCATTTTTTCTCACCTGTGTCAGTTTGGATAGAGGAGTCCCAGATGACTGAATTTCTCACTTTTGACGTTTACATCCTAAACATTCTGCATCCTCTCAGCTCGAGCAGCATTATATGGCAGAAGGATGGACAGATGGATGTCAGACCTTGGGATTCCTAAAGCTGTTACAAACTCTGCCAGGGTCACTGAAGTAATTGTGAGTCAGTGTAGGGTGATGCAATGTTTGCTCTGGGAGGATGACTGGGGTTCTTTTTGCTTTTTAATATCTGCATAAAGTCGTCTTTCACTTTTTTTGTGGTGTGTTTGTGACAAGAGTGAGAACATCCATAAAATCGTAGAAACTGCAAGATGCTACAGCTGTCTAAAGTTGTTGGGTTTTTTTAGCTCAGAATGGAGTATTTATGATCTTGTTTTGTGCTAACAGTGTTTCATGCTCATTTATCATTGCTTAAGTGAGCGTGACCTGGAAGCTGCATAGGAGGTATCTGTCACTGATAACTCCATTACAGCAATGCCATCAATTTTGGCTTAGCTCAGCTGTCAGCCGGGGCTTCACTGCACGGTTCTGGTAAGTGGCACTTGGTCTGCAGTTAAAGGAAGCGCTGGTGTGTTCCAAGTTCTCTTGGCAATGCGGTTTACACTGGATGGTGGGGGTCGGAGGGGTGTGCTCTGCTGTGCCTGCACATGCATTGCAGGAGCTTAGAGAAGCTGCCATGAGCTACCGGGAGCATGGATCATTAATATTGTTGTTAATCAGCTATAAATCTGCAAAGCAGGGCACAGGGGAACGTGGGCACTAGAGAAGGAGAGAGAGATTACACTGTCTTTACAACCTGGCTATGCTTGCTCAGGAGCTCAAACACGTCAATCCCCTAAATCAGGTGGATTGCATCTGAGAATCCTTTGCACAACTGATCTGCCAAACAACAAGAAGATAGGGTTTTGTACTGGTTTTTTCCTGTGGTTTTTATTTATTTATTAATGGTAAATTGAACAGGTGATGCTAAAAGTGAGAGGGTTTTTTTCCCTTTTTTTTTTTTGTTATTGAGTATCTAAGAGGACCGCTTTGATGTTCAAATTTGCAGAGTAATGGAATACAAGGAGGAGATTTCTTTTTTGGGTGTAAAATGGCAGGGGCTTGCCTGATTGGGTAAAGATTACTGAAAAGCCTCAACTCCTCTTTCTACCCAAGTGGTAAACGTTGGTTTGTATAAATCTTCTCTTGGAGAATTAATGTAACACACAGGTAAGAACCTACTTACTCTGTACAGAACTTCTCACAGATGCTTTGTCTTCCCAGTTCAGTAACACCTTTGTTTCTTTGTTTGTTTGTTTGTTTTTAAAGAGATGCCTTCTGCAAATGATTGGTATTCTTATACCTACTATAGCTGCTTCCTATTAGTTATCGAAGTGAGATTCTGCACAGGTAAAAACTGCATTTGCTGAATAAGAAGGGAGTAAAAGACCAATGAGGCAGATTTGTTTTTAAAGTCCATGTTTAGAGTTAACAGAACAAGAAACAAGAATGCAGTGCCACACACGACGCCACCTGCTTGGATACAGGACATACATATACATGTGTTAGCATCTAATCACTGTCCCTATGCAAATATTGAAATTCCCTTCCCAGGCTATTTTTGTAGGAAGGTAGTAATGTCAAATTGCAAACTGTTTGTTTTAATATATCCCTGTGTCATCACTTTTTTAAAATGTCTGACCTTAGCTAAAGGTTACAGGCATTAAGAGTGTTTTTGCCTGGAAATACAGTGTTTGTGAGCTTTTGTGTAAACTACAGTTTACACTGGGAACAACATCTGGAGTGTGTGAGGAATTAAACCTCTGTGAATCCTGCCTGGATGTGCTCTGTGGTGGCTATTGAGCATCTGACATCTTTTCAGGGTGGAGGAGTGTGCTAGAAGACTTCTTGCTCAAAGACAGTGCTTTTACCCTTATTTTGCTCTCACTTGGTGGAGACAGATAGAAAATTATTTTGCTTGTTGTGAACAGTTACATTTATTCTCAGAAATTGCTGATAGTACCTATTAGAAAAGAGAACAAACCAGGAAAGCAAAGACAGAATTGGGGAAAACACCAATGTTTTCACATTTATTACAGGAGTCTGCTATAGTCATGCTCTCTAACTGTGATGCTTGGATTCTTGCAGAAATCATCATGAAGACCAACTATAAGGGGGGCGTGGATGTATGTTGCCAATTAGCCTTTAGTTTCTAAGTTTGCAGGTCTTTGCAAAAAGGGCAGAAAACTTTTTAGGGAGGCAATTGATGTTTGTTTCTGTGTTCCATTTGCTGGGTTGCCATCTCCTATGTGTTGGTGTCCAAGGAGAAACCTGTATGAGTTCCCTTGGGTACCTGTTTGATTAATGTTTTTCATTTGTGAAAGACTGTCCTGACTGGACACTGACGTCATCTTGCTTTGCTTACAGCAGGGGAAATGAAAGGTGAGATTTCTCTGAAAACAGCAACGTGAGCTCTGAGCATGGCTGGGTAAGTCACGGCTGTTTTGGAGCCCCATGGGGAAATTACAGACTTAAGCACCTTCCATGGCCAAAATCTTGCAACTTTAGAATTAGGAATAAGAAAAACATGGAAAATTTTCTCCAGGCTGCCTGGTTAAGTCAAGTTGTTTTGCTTTGTGTACCTGGAACATCAGAAAGTAGTTTTTCAGGTAAATATTTCCACAGGCTTGTGCATCTTATTCAGTAGAAATCTTCCCGTGTCAATGATGTCCTCTTTTGTTATCTTGAATAACCAGGCAAGTGAGTAACTGTATCCCTGTGTAGAGATGGCAGGGTGTCCCCACTGGCACTATCGGCCTTGCAGGACTGACCAGGGTGACAAGCACTGTATAACAGATCTTGTCCCTGAGGTTTAATGTGCTCCATTCACAAAGGGAACACACTTGTTGAATTATTCTGTTGTGCTATTTCAACATCAGGTGTTACCTACAAAGGGACACTTAGAAAAGTTCATGATCCTGAACTATGACATTAGTGTGGATTATAACTAAGCAGAAGGAAGTCTTGTTTACTTCCATTTGAAAGTGGAGGAAGTTAAATCAGTTAATTTAGAGTGTCCACTTAAGATTTAGATGTAGTTTATGCCAATTGCTTTAGAGATGCTTCAGAAGAATCCTCTTCCATGGCCTTATGTCAGTGAGGACTTGGCTCCTCTGCACATGTACACCCCCTTTCAGCAGGGAGTTGATAGGAAGTGCTGAATTTGCTCATTTTTTCATACATCAAAGCATCTTGTCACACC